AAAAAATAGGACATTGTAAAAAATGGACATCCTAGTAGTTCTAAGAAAAGCTTCGATTTGAACACACGTAGTCAAGTTTTATTTATGACTATTTTCCTCGTTTCTCATTGAAATTGAAATTGTATGTATTCAATACAAATTTATTTATTGCATGTGAAGTTGTTTCACCACCATGGCATTCAATTATTTTTTGTGCAATTACTCCACTAGTTTGTTATAATTAGTAATACAAAGATCGAACACTTAAAAAAAATCCTCCGATCTGGCTGGATTCGAACCAGAGGCAGCGTCTCCTAGCAAACCGTGCTAAACGCTATGCCAAATAAGTCACGGAACGAACCAGCGGACCTTTCGAATTTTTCTATGTACTTGTTGCAGACTTTATACCGTAGCGCCATCTGTCACAAATTACTAAAGTGGCTATCCATTGATAAGCCTCTTTAGTACCAAACGTACAAAATCCTACCATTGACACTTTATCAAACACAAGATCATTTAAAATTAGCAGACTTAGGGTCGTATTCTAGAACTCTACTCAATGCTCAAGTCAGGATTGTGCTGGAAACACAAGCACTGGAAATACGACCCCAATGGCAGGGACTTGAGTATGATTTCAAGTGCTTTAAACCATACTCAAGTCCTGACTTGAGCATTGAGTAGAGTTCTAGAATACGACCCTTAGACCCTGATCTCAAACCAAGTCTTCGTGCTATCGTCATTCGCGCCAATGAACTATCGCGCATTTAAGCTTTCGCGCAACCGTTTTCGTACTATCGTTATTCATGTAAACGTGTACACCCGTGAGATACAGCCATCTTTGTCAAAAAGTCATTGAAAATTTCATGAAAAGAGCAATGGGCTGTCATCAGAGCCGCGGGGGCCATTTGCCGGATATTTTATTTCATACGTAACACGTTCAGACCGGGAACCAAATTACCTTTATTTTCTGTAAGGCGGGAAAGATTCTCACATACACACACCTCATCAACCAAAAAATGTATAGGGGAGGGGTGCGCTAACGGTGGACACCTAATTAATCTATTATTTAAGACAATTTAAACTATTTTTTTTGCCAGTTCCGGCTGTTTAATACAATTCATCAGATACAATTTGTTATGTTTATTCTCGTTTTTCTAGTACATTTCCGGTACTATTTTTAAATAAATACTTTTTTAATCTTGATATTTTTCAGTCTTATAAAATATCTTCATTATACAATAACTTCAAAAAAACACTTTGTCTCAAGGCGGCGTGGGTTTCTTAGTATACCAAAACTCAAGTGTTGTGTGACAACCGGTGCTACACTAGGTACGCCTGATGGACGAGCACCCTGCTTCACCGGTGGTACACGCCGACGTGTTAAATGGAACATGTCTACTTTATTATGCAATACAAATAGCACAACTCGTTGAAAATACGTGCTTTGTTTTTAAATGAAATAGAGTATAATTTTAGTGTATAATTTTTATCAAGACATCCTTTTTTAAGGATCTAACTCATCACGCCATCTCCTTCTGTATCTTCCACGTCTCCTTGGTGCTCCGTGGCGGTCTTTGCCCACAGCTCGTTTAACATGCGGCAAATGTTGCCAGCCCAGTTCTATTAGAGGTAGCGACTTTTCTTATCTAAAAAATAATTAACTCATGATCATCTGACACAATTAAATTAAGTACAAAGTAATATGGTACTCACAGCGTGACTTGAAGAGGTGACAGTATAATACAACAATTAACTGAAAACCAATAGAAAATGCTCGCTCTGTCGTAAAACAATAATGTGGTAAAACAATAGAAATAAATAAAATTTATATCAACAGATCATTTCCGAATCGAATAAGCCATGGCCACAAAACAATAAACATGTGTAAAAAAAAAAAATTAATCAAAAGATATTATTATTTCGATTCACTACATATTGACCAAATTGTTCTTTTTACTTTAACTCTTTCACAAGGAGCTCTAAATCCAAAAAAAAACCTAAAAACAATATATTTAGGTAAGCTTCCCTTAGTAATGATTTGTAATTGTTTGTCTCCACAACTAAAATATCTGTTCGATAGGTGTTCGTTCACGAACGAATCATTTTGTGTACATTCACTCATTCCCTCTCTCTTCATTCTCTTCTTTTCACGACATATTGCTTTTGTACGTGTTCATAAAAATTAACTACATTAAATAAGTTCTGCATGCTAAAAATATTGTTTTTATTTAGAAATGAACAATAGGGAGGTGAGTAAGTACTCGATAAGTTATGTTAGTTTTACGTTATACGTCACTATCAGCCAAAATTTAACACGGCGTGGATGGAACATGTTTAGAAGTATTCCCGAATGTATTGTTTATACGTTGTACATAGTTTAACCCACCTTTTTCTCCTGGCCACTTACGTTTCAAATTTTGAATTGTTCCTAATTCTTTTGTCTCGTCATTATCACTTTGCTTCGTTTCGTCGTCATTCTCTGCTAAATACTTAGGAAGTAGATAGACAGATAATTTTTTTATTCACTTCCACGATAAAGACACACCACGATACAGACAATTCAAATGGAAACCTGCAATTATATTTAACAATTAAAGGCATCGAGGCAAACCCAAACAGGGTTTAACGGTGCTTCACAATATTTATGTATACTTTTTTCTTAAAACAACAAAATAAATAAAAAATGAAATAAAAATAATCCTTTTTCGTAATCATGACAGTGAAAATAAGCTGACGAATAACGTGGTTAACCACGACTCTGGTATTCTGCCAGGGCCCTGTAAGATCATCCGAAGGTACTCCCTTACTCGGTAGCGATTCCATTTAAATTTGAAGTAAATACTCCACCTCTCAGGGTGGCAAACTAGGGGATCCGGTTTCGCGCAATTTCCGGTACCCGTTTTCAATAAATAGATAGTGTTTAATTCACCATTGGCTTTTCCCTTAAAACAAGCTTAACTAATAGAAACAGTGATTCAGTGATCTTAATAATAAATCTACGGTGTGCATACTAAACTCGCAATGGATGTGGCTCATAGCTGTTTGGTGTGTGCAGTGTTCGGATGATGAGAGCTTCTGGAGGAATAAAAGCCTGTGTTATGTAGACTTCAGTGAGAGTCGATAAATGAACACGTGTGAACTGTTGGTGTGAATGTGATTGATCTTTATATTTCTGATAACAAGGTGGAAGTGGATCCTGGTTTTCCTTGATTGCAAACTTTACTCCATGTCGTCCTGAGGCTATATGCGTTCGCCAGCATGGACGCTCGTGTGATGACGAAAAAGTCTTCAACGTGTTTTCTCGACGGTTCTAAAGATTCCAGACCGTTGACGACCGTTTTGGTACAGGTGTAGAAGAGGAACAGTGCTGAGTCAGGAGAGGCCGTGTTGGCGTAACAATGAGTTATTTTGGCAAATGACGGACTTTGCTATAAACGGACGGAGACTGACAGTAATTCCAGTTCTTTTAGCCTTATCGAAGCAGCATCGTATTCGAGGTGCCCCGGGTTTATTGGAGAGTTATTGGATTATACTTTTATCTGTTATGTTATTTTTTATTGCTATAACTGATACAACAATCGAACAAAGTGAAATAAAATTTGCTGGGCTCGAGTCAGCGACATTTTCATCTAAAGTACACCCCGAACACTCCATACAACGTTCGAAAGTTATTTACCTACTACTACTACAAACAGCAATCTACACACGTGCAAATGTGTGCGTGAAATGACAGGATTAGAAAATTCTAATCTGCTATTTATAATTCTATGAATATAATCTTAATAATTACACACGTTCATTAGGTAATTATGTCGATATATTATATTTTTCATTAATTCACTAACTAGAATAATATTGAAGATTTATTTAAAAAATATATTAAAAGCACTTAAAATGTTATATTTTGGACAGGTACTTTCAAATATGGTAATTAAGGTATTTGAAATCGCGTAAATGACAGTAATTGTTTCGGACAAACATCGGACGGAGGACGAGAGTGGTTCCATGGTCACGGCACACCCCGGACACTCAATACAACGGTCGAATTATTACATACAGCAAGGCGCTGTCTGCACCCGCGCAAATGTGTGCGTGAAGTGGCAGGGTTACCCACCACTTTCTCATAATTATTACATTACGTGGTCGGAGCGGTAACATTCCGAAAATTTTTAAGCGAATCTGTTATCAATAATTCTATTAATGGAATCCTAATAATTACACATACTCATGAAGTATTTATATATATATAATATTATATTTTCATTATTTACAAACGACAATAATATTGAAGATTTATTCAAAATATATACGAAAAGCACTTAAAATGGTATATTCTGGGCAGGTACTTTTCAATAAGGTAAGATGTTGGAAATTGCGTGTCCATGTTTATCATTACCTAGTTAATAATTAGGTATATTCACTACATAATATTTATCGGCAATACAAATTGAAAGTTCGAGAACCTTTGTCTATTAGCTCACGAACTTATGGCGTCTCATTATACAGACATAATAAATTTGTATTATATATTGCTCTGTACTTAATAAATAAAGAAAACAATAACTAAGTGAGTCTCAAACATAAGTTTTTTTTTACATACTTCGTTTCATCTTCAGGAAAAAGAAAGAATCTCCTCTCTTTATCCCGTTTAGATGATGATAGACAGCCGTATACAACACAATTCACGACAATTAGAAATAGTAACTTACAATGATGTTAAAATATAACGTAACGTTAATATATTATATTAACGTACAAGTTTCGTAACGAATAAATGAAAACTATATTCAAACATCAAAGTCGTCTTAACGGCTCGTCGACAGCCTTGTTGCCGTTCAGTCAATATGACCGTCAATGTGCGGGGCGTGGTGCGGTGTTTAAAGCTAGGGAGGGGCGGAGAGTGTCCTTTCTCGTTACTTTTAGTTCTCTGTCTAAAAGCTCTCCCAACTAAGCTACGGTACGAGTCAGCAAAACTTACGAATTGACGTGACGATGTAATAAAACTAAAAATATTTGTTTGGAGATTTTATTTGTTAATTCTTTGTCTTATCTACGAAACCTATATAATGTTGGCAACGTGAATGCTGAGAAAGCATAAACTATTGCTTCGGATCTAAATTGCGTATGTTTGTTTTTTCAAACAAACCAACATTTCAGGCCCTTCTCAGGTTCTATAATAACTGACTGAGTCAGCGTAATAATATAGAACCTGTAAATGGCCCAAAATGTGGGTTGTGTGATAAAAACAAATATACGCGATTTAGACCTTAAAAAATAGTTTCATTTTCAATATGTAACAATCGCAAAAACCTAAGAGCTAACAAAGCGCTTTATTCGAATTTTCAGCTGTTTTACAGTTTTGTCATGGTGATGGTGTAATCGCTTGTGTTCTGTCGCAGCGTTTCGAATCGACTCGACTAATTAACATTTTTTATACTTTTATTTGTATATTTTACAGAAAATGATTCCGAGTTCTAACATATGATCAGCGTCGTCTTTAACAGCATAACATTGGTTACCAGTCCCAGCTAGGTTGATCAGGTATCTTTCCCACTCTAGGTTGACAAACAACTTTAACTACTCTGAATATATTGTTTTTTACATTAACTTCTGCTTTACATTTTTGAGGGGCAGGACAAAAGAATGAATACATTTCGCAACCAGAAATGGATCTAGCTAAGAAATTCAATCGATGATTGTGGTTTAGAAAACCAATGATCTGTCTTTTAGCGTCAATCACTCTGTCAACATCGAGATCTTTCAAACGTGATCGTGAGTCCAGTATGTATTCTTTTAAAGCAATTTTGGCTGCCATTTTGACTTCTGGATCAGAAGGATCCTCTTTTACATAACAACCGAAGCGACAGTCGTTTTGTCTATGAGAGTGACGTTTACCTCCGTTCGGTGGAACTAAATAGTGCGGTACTCCAAGCGTCGGCACTCTAGAAGGAAATGTGTCTTCTTTCGTCTGAAATGTAAAATATTTTCTGTTTTATTTGTACATCCGATTCTGGAACATGAAGTGTGTACTCCTGTTTACACAAATCCATGTGTCACGGAACAATATTTCGGAAGAAGATAAATAGTGGATTAGAGTTATTTTCACACTAGACGTCTAAATAGTGTGAAATAAGCCCATATATGAAATAAAAGAAAGAAAAAAGAAAGAGTGATACATTAAGGGCGCCTTCAAATTAGATGCTTGTATAAGCACGACAGTGGCACGGCAGCCGTGCGTCTACAGCGCTTCAGTAATTTTTAGATCACTAATTGTGACTGCAAAAGTGGCGCCACGTGTGTCACGACATTGGCGCTGCAACAGCACTCCTAAATATTGTAAGGTGGTAGCACCGGTGATCGTCGAGCACCACTGTTCGACATCTTTTAATAAATTAATTTCTCATAAGATTTAGGACAAAATTTTCTATCATAGTTTTATAGTTTTACACGTTTCTTATTTGTAAGTGTCAATTACTGGACGTTCATTATTAGCGAGTGTCGATTACTGGTTAGTTAATTAGTGGATTTTTGGTGTTAATTACTGCAGATATAGAGAAATTCTAGTTTAATTTTTTTAGTAATAATTATAATTGCTTTTTTATGAAACATAATCTTTCTTGAGGATTATATCTGTCAAGTAAACTAGTCATTCGTGATATAAGTTTACAAACAAAAAAGTTATTACACATTTAAAGACACACTTCCTTAAAATGTCGATCATTGGTACCATCACCCTATGCACATTAGTAATGGCGCGGCTGCAGCGCTTCTAATAAGCGTCTAATTTGAAGGCGCCTTTACTCAGCTGATTAAGACTTACACAGAATAAATTGTGATTAAAATTATAAGCTAAAAACGGATTCAACTCAGCTTATGTCACAAGTCGATTGCCGTAACGCTGGTTTTCATTTGGAAGATGATACACATGTTTTATGAAGATGTGGTAAAGATATGAAGGGGTAGGGGGAAGGGGAAGGGATAACAAACATTTTTGATGCGTGTAAATACGTTTTAAAATAAGAAAGAATTGCTATAAACATAAGGTTGACTTATGTGAAGGCAAAAGCATTCCCATTACAAATGACTACGTATTGAACGTAGTCATGTGTAATCTGAATTGTGGTGGGCAAAAAAATACTAACGTATTATTCGATTTTATTAATAGTGCTAACTCTTTAACAAACGTGAATTCAATAAAAGGAAGCAAGATTAAGTAATAATTATCACATTAACCCGTTACATCGACTGTTCTCTAGAATAGTGAATCTCAAAATCTAATTCATCAGGAAGATGTTTTAGAAACAACTGAAGCATTGAAGCATATTATAATATATATTGTTACGGACAGACGTGTCGCTTACCACCAGGCCCAATACTTATCCAACCCGTCACAGTATTACAAAAAAAAAACTCCTGTTTGGAACAAGTAAAACTATTTGGTCCTTCTATAAGTTGTTTTTGAATTCTTTTTTGTTTTCATCGCGCTTTTTACATGCTCAAAACTAAAAATATTCAAATAGATCGATCTAAACGGTGATAACGCTATGCGGTAACAAAAGAAAGCGCTAACTCAAATACCCGTCATGCAAAACGCTTGAGCCGAGGTGGGACTCGTCAGGGAAGAGGACGAGGCCTGTAACGAAATTATCTATTAAGAGAACAAAACGTTTTCCACATGAAAAAACCTTCACAGGGGTGCATGAAAACGAAAGACTCTGACACGCGGGCCTCGCGTAATTAAGTAGAAGTCTCGGTCCAGATGAATTGTATTGTAGAAATAATCTAACTCTCAGTACAGAGTACTAAAAAAACCGACCTCAAAAGTCGTTCATCCCCTAGTGTACCGCCCTTAGAGGTGTAATATTTACTTTACTCCTTTTCTTGAAGTCGGTTAATAAAGAGTACAGGAGAGGAAAAAAAACAGGTAAAGTAAAGGCGTAAAGGCTGCAACATAACATAGTGATATAAAAACAGAACATTGTGATATATGAACGATTCAAAATTTCAAGGTAAGGTGGCCAGGAACCAGCGAAAAGGGTCGTAAAAAGGTGGGATGACGATGCAACCTCTTTTATCACCACAAGCCTTTCCTGTATATCCGAAGCATCCTGGCTAACAATCGACAAATACCTTACACTGATTGGCAAATTTGTTCACCACTATGGCAAGCATTATAGAGTATGCCATTGATACGATAAGAAGAAGACGTAAGCACGTGAATTATAAGAGCGGTGATGCCCAATGGGAGAGTAGTTAAAAACAAATTGTACTCACGTAAATCTGACTGATAGACATATCCAAGAAGAGTACTAGAGAGGCTCCAATAAAGTACACACGGTCCATGTTCACTTTAAGAATGTTGTAAATGTACCACCACGAACACTTTATAGCTTTATAGGAAGACTGTGGTAAATCGATTTTGCTATAGTCACAATGTAACAAGATTATTAGGTGATAATTTTATGCTGACTTCATTCTTGCATTCACTTCAAAACAAACATCGTGCTTATGCCATAAACACATAATAATATAATAACGATAAAACTCATAACCCCACACTAGGGAAACCCTGTATCGCGGGTGCCATGGATATTCACATAGACAAATTACAAATTACACCCAAAGAAGGATGGCGAAAGCTGACCCAAAATCAACGAAGTACCGTTCACGGAGTTTGCTAGTATACTTTTACGTTTAGTTTATGCCTAGTTATTAATATATTTTTAACCGACTTCAAAAAAGGAGGAGGTTCTCAATTCATCAGTATGTTTTTTTGTTATGTATGTTACGCGATAACTCCGGTATTTGTGAACCGATTTTCAAGATTCTTTTTTGTTGGAAAGGGGGTAGTTCCATAGTGGTCCCATTTTATTTTGAAGAAAATCATCCACCTCGAAGGGTGGCTGTTCACGCATGAAGATTCATTTTTATAAATAGCGCCTAACTTTAATTTAGGAGCAATTACTTTAATGGTTGATTTTGCTATTTCTCCACTTCAAGGCGTTTTTCTCTCAATATACTTTAAATAGTGAGAACCGATTTTTATTATCTCCAGTGTCAAGTCCTGTATAGTGGCGAACAAGGTGATATTTCAATAAAACTTAGCAAATAGACGTAATTCCACGTACTTTTGAGGTCGGTTTTTTAGTACTCTGTAATGATTATTGTATATTTATTGAAGTTAGGAATAACGGAATGCAAAACAATGTATTTTAGAATAGATGCAAGAACACAACGCAATTGATTCAGTTCGACCATAGATTAGGTAATGTTCTTCTACGTACTTTTCATTTTAAGCATGATGAAATGTTTATCTACCTAAAGTATTGGTTATTTTGTAGTATACATGTTATACACATAAAACATTAAAGCTATAAAATACTTAATCGAATAAACAATTAGGCAATATTGACATAAAGTAAAAAATAAAACACAAGGTGACAAAAATGTTTAGACAATATTTAAATGAGAGATACAAAAGTTAACAAAGGAAAGTTTTGACAAGAGGCTTCTTGCCAATGCCACTTTGAGATTGAGAACAGTGTGACCATTTGTGGCAGATTTCCGCCATTTGGACAGATTTAATTTTTATTCATTTTGTCATCATTGAGCTAAATGTGACAGAGTTTGGCAGATTTAGGAATATTATGCAAGTTCTTTATTATTTTTTGGAACAAACTGAAAACTTGTTGTTTTCTGCTACTACGAAAAAACATCTGAAGTCAAATACAGGACAATGTTTTAAACATAACCTATATCAAGTTTGTAACCCACAGCTTCTACAGGCTGTACTCAATTAGCTTTTTATCAAAAAATTTTTGATAACGAATCACAAGTATTGATAGGTCTCTTTAATAAACGTCGTCAAAAACAATGGGTCACAAAATGCGCGGAATGTCGCCATCCTTCTTTATGAGAGAAATATATGTAGGCCATACAAATATTTCTGCCGGTCCGGGAATTGAACTCAGGACTTCTGCGTGCCACGGAGGCAGTTAATATATTTTGAGTTTTAGTTAATATTGTATTTGGATGACGTTAGTGCTCCAGCGGTTAGTGCTATGGACGTTGTACGCTATTTCCTGTAAAATCAATTTGGGAAAGGAATTAAATTGTTCTGGTACTCAAGTCCATTTCAGATAGGATAAGTCCTGTGACATTTCCAATTTTTATGTTGCACGCGAACTATTTTCAACTATACTAATCATAAGTAATAATAAATTTGTCATAATGTACCAGAAACAAACAATATCCGTGGCAGTCATTGACTTACAAATAAATGGACGACGGGTCTAATACAAAAACCACGAAAAAAATGTCCCAAGTCAACCTATTCGAAATTTAAATTGTAATGTCATCGCAGTATCGCGCTGTCAGTAGAACAAATGAAGACTAAATCGGAGTGTCGCGCTCTGTATACGATTTTAGCGCCTTACAAGTGCGGACACTTTTTAGCGCGGACTCGACGTCCATATAATTGTAAGTCAATGGTGGCAGTCATTGACTTACAATTTATGGACGTCGGGTCCGCGCTAAAAAGTGTCCGAACTTATAGGGTGTTAAAATCGTATACAGAGCGTCATTCACGCTTTAGTCTTCGTTTGTTCGACTGACAACGAAGCAAGCAAAATTAGACAGTACTGCGATGACATTACAATTTAAATTCAACGTTTTAGCTGTTTCATATTCCTTTACATGTCACTACGTTTAAATAGGTTGACTTGAGACATTTTTTTCGTGGTTTGTGTATTAGACCCGTCGTCCATTTATTTGTAAGTCAATGGTTGCAGTTGTAATTTTAATCTTCGTATACCACTGCAATGGTCTCTCAGACTGGCGACTATCGTTTGCTGTATTTTTTTTTAAAAAAGAAAACGTTAGAGCTTGGTGCTCACAGCTAGCTACATGATTCGTGGCTAACTTTATTTTAGCGTAACAGGCGCATTCGTGCATATAAACAATATACCCGTACACGACACCGATCGGTCCCATACACCGACGTGGGTATAGGTGTCACTTTTAGGCATTGACTTACAATTATATGGACGTCGGGTCCGCGCTAAAAAGTGTCCGCACTTGTAAGGCGCTAAAATCGTATACAGAGCGCGACACTCCGCTTTAGTCTTCATTTGTTCTACGGACAGCGCGATACTGCCATGACATAACAATTTAAATTTCGAATAGGTTGATTTGGGACATTTTTTTCGTGGTTTTTGTATTAGACCCGTCGTCCATTTATTTGTAAGTCAATGCTTTTAGGTAATTAATACTTTTAGTAATTCCTATAGTTATGTATTATTTTTAATTATCATTGGGTTTACATTGTTTATTATATTTGTAAATTAATTTAGGTTGTATTTTATAACCTCAATATATATGAGGAACGCATGAGAAGGTTTTTGGAAGAGGATGACTCTGACTCGAACTATGAAAGCGAATATAACAGTGACTCTGAGGTTCATATAGAAGTGAAGCAAGTAAGAAATGACACAGAGCAGGAGATAGTTCTGACCGGGCGGCGTCGTGGTGAATGTGCACCGACCCCACGGCGCCGACTCAACCCGCAGGAGGTAAGCCCGGGGGGTTTTAGTGGGGTAGGCCCTCCAGTATGGAGGGAGAGTTCCCACATAACCCCTGAGTCTCCCTGGGCTCAGGGGTATCTATAAAGATTTCCCCCCGTAAAAAAAAGGAGATAGTTCTGAAGATGAGGAGAAGTTTTTAGTCTATTACCTGGAGAAAGATAGTTAAATTAAGTGGACTAAAGATGCTCCATCAATGAAGGTAAGAAGTATTTTTGAGCAAGATTTATACAAATTTTTTTTATATGCAACATGCAACTTAATTTATGGATTTTAAAATTTTATATATTATTCTTTTAAGGGATTTTTGTATGAAACTTTGCTAGATACAATTTTAGACATTTCCTTTTAATATTAAACTTAATTTTACGATAATATTTTACTAAACATCGTACTAAAATGGTTCTCGAACTTTCGGTCTCACAGGTGCGCGGCTATAGAAAGGTTAAATATAAATTACAATATATTAAATACGAAAAAAATTAAATGATAAAGATAAAAATACATTACCCCGATTACTTGTTGCGTAAACGGAATATTTACCCAAAGAGATTTACACCATAAAATCGATAAATCGAATCGATAAAAATATTATGTATCTTGCGTTAGTACGACTGCATATACCTTGTATGTGGCTCGTTTTCCTTCGTTTTAAGCTTCGCGTGATTTTTTGGAGTAATTGTCCAAATTTCGTTTCGTTGCTTTTTTGTTTGATTGTTATTGATTTTTTTATTTATTGTGTATTTTTATTGGTAATAATAAAATAGTTTTAGCAGTAGACCTCTCTGTGAAAGAGTTCATCCAGGGAAGTACTGCCACCTTACCTATTTCTGCCGCGAAGCAGTAATGTTAGCATTACTGCATTCCGGTATATAAGAGTAAGGGTGCTAGTGAAATTACAGGCACGTGGAACATTTTATTTATTTATTTATTATTTAAAACTTTACATCTACCATTACAGTTATAACGAATGCGATAGTGTACAAATCATATATAGATTCTTACATTAAATCCATAATAAAAAAGAAAAAAAAAAGAAATTAACTACTCACTAAAATTATTACGAAATACGTTCATAGCAAATAACGTATAGTGTTATCCTTGTGAATTTACACAGAGTACATGAAAATAAGTCCGTTCTGTCTGCAACATCATTTAGGATTTGCAAAGCTCATGTTAGCGGGGCCTTCTGGCTCAGATTAGTCCGGCCGCGCGGCACTGCCAACAACCAACCGCGGTTTTCGTCGCCTCCTTACGTAATCATTCGGTACGCATAAAGACACAATTTCCAGTATACTATGGTTAAAAATTGACCCTTTAAGTAGTTTAAAAATAATTTGAGCTAATGCGAAGTCTCAACGTACTTCTAGTCTATTATAACCAACCATGTCGAGTACAAACAAACTTGGATACATGAGTGAATAAAAGGGGTAAACACCATATATTCTTGCATATAAATGTCGTGTAAATTTATTTTGAATAGACTCTAACATAATTTTATACTTTGCATCATGAGGCGACTAGATAATTGCATTGCATTCCAGGTGGCTCCTTGCAAGGGCATCGTATAATGCTTTTATGGAACTAATTTTGTTGAAGCACCGAGTCTCCCTCAACACGAAGCCTAGGTTCCTGTAGGCCTTTTTACAAACATTGAGTATATCGTTTCGAAACGCCAACGGGCTGTAAGTAGAACCCCGAGATCGTGTACCTCGGAAACCTTTTGCATCTGTACTATGTTTATGCTATATACTTGTCAACTGTTTTTATTAG